TGCATTTGAATGGATTCAAGATCAGCGAGCGCACTATCTTTGGGTGCATGGACCATAGAGAGCTTGTGGCTCTCTTCAGTGGGTACGGGTACCAGGTTCGCTTTGTGGAGGATATCAGTGATATTGACTCAGATTTGCACTTCTCTATGGTCTGGGCCATCAAGGAGATCCATAAGATTCAGAAAGCTGCCCGTTCTGGGAAGCCGATTATGAAGCCGAGGTGGCCAATGTTGATTCTGCGCACTTCCAAGGGTTGGTCTGGGCCCAAGCAGCTTCACGGCAAGTTCATTGAGGGCTCGTATCATTCGCACCAGGTGCCATTGCCAAAAGCAAAGACCGACAAGGAAGAACTGGGTCTACTACAGAAGTGGCTGTCTAGCTATAAGCCAGAAGAGCTGTTCACTTCGGACGGTGATGTGATTGACGAGATCAAGTCTGTGATTCCTACAGAGGACAAAAAGAAGCTCGGTCAGCGCATTGAAGTCTACAACAGTTATACACCGCCAAATTTGCCGGATTGGAAGCCCTTCTGCGCACAGAAAGGCTCTAATGAAAGCTCCATGAAACTGATTGGCACCTTCATCAATCAGATATTCAAGGACAACCCGAATAGCGTGCGACTGTTCTCACCGGATGAGCTGGAAAGCAACAAGCTTGATGCGGTGCTTGAAGGCACGAACCGCAATTTCCAATGGGATGAGTTCGCCAACGCCCGTGGCGGCCGTGTAATTGAAGTCCTTAGCGAACATATGTGTCAAGGATTTATGCAGGGCTATACCTTGACCGGCCGCATTGGTATCTTCCCGTCGTATGAGAGCTTCCTCGGCATCATTCATACGATGATGGTGCAGTATGCCAAGTTCATCAAGATGGTCAGCTTTCCTTTCCCTTGCTGATATCAATTCCATGCTCACTAAATATCTGTGTAGGCACTGGAAACAAAATGGCACTCTGGCGTCAGTAGTGTGAACTACATCGAATCGAGCACCTGGACGCGACAGGAACATAACGGCTTCTCTCACCAGAACCCATCTTTCATCGGCTCCGTACTAAAATTGAAGCCCACTGCAGCTCGCGTATACCTGCCACCGGATGCAAATACATTCCTGACAACCCTTCACCACTGTGTGAAATCAAAGAACTACATCAACCTGATGGTGGGCTCAAAACAGCCTACTCCTGTGTACCTGACTCCCAAAGAGGCTGAGAGCCACTGTCGTGCAGGAGCATCGATCTGGAAGTTCTGCAGCACGGACGATGGAGTTAATCCGGATGTCGTGCTGGTCGGTATTGGTGTCGAACTGATGTTTGAAGTAATTGCGGCAGCAGCGCTTCTGCGTAAGCTTATACCAGAGCTGCGTGTTTGCGTCGTTAATGTGACGGACTTGATGATTCTTGAGAACGAGGGTCGGCACCCACATGCCCTATCTACTGAGGCATGGGATGCACTTTTCACTTCCGATAAGCCTATTCACTTCAATTACCACGGCTACCCAACGGAGCTGCAGGGCTTGCTCTTTGGACGCCCACATCTTGAGCGCGTCTCTGTCGATGGCTATATTGAAGAGGGTAGCACCACCACGCCTTTTGATATGATGCTTGTCAACCGTGTATCACGTTTCCATGTCGCTCAGCAGGCTATTCGTGCTGCTGCCAGGACAAACGAGAAGATCCGGGTTTATCAGCAGGAACTGAATGCTCAGCTTGAGGAGAGCATCGTCAATACGAGGAAGTATATTGTGGAAAATCACAATGGTGAGCACCCTATGCTATTTGCAATTTGCAATGTAGTACTGACTTTCACTCTTAGATCCTGAGGGTATCTATGACACACCCCAATTTCACAACTTCAACCAACCGACTGAGTCCTTCTGGAATCAAGGTTGATTAGTTCTACTTAAAGCAATCCCAGCCATTCTAGATTAATCATTTGTGGAATTTTACCAAGAAATAAAAGCCTCCCGTTTCCTCTTTTCTCTCTGCTTCTGCTTATCTACGGTCCATTAATCTATCCACTTAACCGCTATAAGCCACCATTCGTCAGTTTTGATCAAAAATATTCACCTATGACTTGTGTTTTGAAAGGAGCATGACATGTAAGACAGCCCTGTGTAAGATCACCAAGCCGTCTGTCCCCATCAAACCTGGGATCCGCTCCAATTATAAGCTGGCTTCCATTAGCCAATAAAAAGTCTACAGGGGGACGATATTCATCAACAAGCGGTAGCCGTTTCACCATATTCAAATCAGTCCCTTGTCCCCCATACACCTGGCTAACCATTGCAGGCCTGACACACCCACAGCTAAGAGTATACATGCGAATCGACGGATGTCTAGGTCGACCCCTCCATTCTGAAGTAAGCGGGTGTAAATCAAGACTTTTACTCCATACTGTTTGATTGATGCGCACTAGCGAGGAAGTGCCATTCCGATACCTATGCACCTTGTAGATGGTGTACACGCTGAAATTTTCTTTAGTTGGCACTTAGAGTTCCGTGCGGGGGATCTGGGGTACGCATATTGCAACCACGGGGATTGATTCACAAGCACCGGCACAGCTTGAAGTCCGCCCCCCCCGGGTGTTTTACTTCCGTTTTTTAAATATCTGAAAAAGCTGGCTAAACCACTATAAACAGCAAGAAAATAGATCATAACTTAAATATACCATGGTTAGAAATGTCTGACCACAAATCCGACTCACCGACAACAGATTCCAGTCCCAGAAAGAGATGTATATCAGGACTGCAGTCTGCGGAGATCACCCACACCGCGCAGCAGATGCCTTAATACCGGAATCAAATAAGTACATACATTGGGCAAGGCTAGAATCAACCTGTTATCTGTGGCATTTGTCTTGTTTTATGTCAATATGGGTGCGACGGTAAGGGTTTGGGGAGTATCTAGGAACTGAGTGTAGAGAATGCTGCATGTGGGCGGGGAATGTGTTGTGTATATCTAGGTATCTCGATGCAGGCAGCAGGATCTCTTGGAATCGACCAGGACGAGGGGTTTATCAATACAGTCTCTCACATACACCACGGGAACCGTTACTCCCGCATATCTATACAGAGGACATCGTCCCACGTTCCAAGATATGTACTACTGCCTGTGATTGCGTAGTCCCCGGCTCCACCACTATTTTTGGTCATACTGTCCGATAAGATGGGTAAGGCGTGTGTGAGCTATCTTGTTACATGCAATGGGTGGTCTCACTCGGCACAGTGAATTTGTCCAGCGGAATACCTCCGCAGTATTGATATCCGGCCCGCCAAGGCGAGGCTTAATCTCCTTGTGGTTGGTCGTGATATTTAGTTGAAAGATATCCTTGTTCTGTTGGATATTCAACTGGGCCTTTGAAACTGGTTTCGATAGAATTGTTATTTGGCCGTGTCGAGTGTAAGTGGACTGCTTTTTGTGAGGTTAAATGAGGGATTCAGCTGTTGTATCTCCACTATTTTTGATCTACTAGAGGAAAGATCGGCAATCCCGCGCTGCCATTCGCAGCTTGATTGACCTGACTGTATAGTTCTATCGTTGCTGAACTTTTAGCCCAAGGATGTTGACAGGCAGGCGAGCACTGACATTTCTTCTTCCTGAAATTTTAAACATAAGCATAATTGTGTATAAAATGGAGTGTTTGAGATGCGCTCCATTTGCATTTATTTTTTTTTTCCTTCCGTTTTTTTTTTTTTTCGAAGGCAGTCTTCAGACCAATATTAGTTATGAGAAACTACAAACTTGAGATTCAAATCAATTATTATTACAATATACAAATGAGCAGAATGAGCATGTGGATCCTTTTCCTTTTTCCTTTTTCCTTCGGTTTTTTTTCTCTGTCACGTAAATATGTACATCCGCCGCCATCCGAGACCGTGGACCTGGATTATGTCCTTCCGACATCCCGGCAAAACATAGGACACAAAACCAGGGCCAGGGCCAGGGCCAGACTTGATCTTGAATGGGATTGTCTTCCATCATCTTGAAGCGGTGTTCCAACTCTTGAATACGATCTTACTGCATTATTTTCCAGCTGAGCCGCAGACATATTGAAGCACAGACTACATAGTACATTTATGTTGGAACTTGGAATCCCCTCAAACCGCCTAGAGACTGATTGCTGATTTCCATGACTCATTTGGCCTTTTATAAAGCCCCGTTTGGTCTGCCAACGGTTTTACCGGAGATAAATGCCTGAACCCTTCATATAGAACGCTAACCCCAAAAGGGATGACCTTGCGAGCCAGTATACCGCAAGTTGTACTCCGTAGATTGGCCCAATTCTCTATCAGATCTCGGCGTATTTTTGATTTTATTTTTTTACTTGGCTTTGATGTCATGGTCTATTTAATGGTCTGTATGGTATGGAGTATATAAAGTACAATTATCATGCAATCTAACAGGCTAGGGATTCCCCCACTGTGGCGGTTGGTTGCCCGATTGTGCGGCAGTTTTTTACATGCCTTTTCACTTTCTATACCAACCGGCGTCGGCCCGTTTATCAACCCGCTCTAGGCACTAGAAACTAGGCACTAAACATTGGACACAGTTGAATCTCGGGATTCATTGCACCGATGCGGGTCTTATACTCCCCCAGTAAGATTACTGGACATGGTACATGGACGTGTCTTATATTTCCCCGGTTGCTTATTGGAAATAGCACGGAGCAGGCATGCACTAAAAGACCGTGGCTTTGGCATTGGGGGGGGGGGGGGGGGGTTTTCCGGACGGTGGGGGCTAGTGGGTGCCCAGCCATGCTTACCCTTATTTATATGTAGTACTCAAGTTATCCACATGAATATTGAAGCCTGATTCCTGGTCTTTTTTTGGTATCTTCGATTTTGGACAGACAGGGTGGTTGTCAAAAAAATTCTTTTCTGGTCGCCTGGAGAATCTCTATCCATCTTCCAATCTATCTCAAGACTACAGATTTACCGCTATCTTTGATTTCCTCGCCAATTCCCTTGATGGTAGTTTATTGAGGTCTTTCATTTCCCTTTGCCATGGACGCCGTCGATAGGCTAGAACTGCAAAAGGGCTGTGCTGCCTATATCGAAGGCGTTGGCACTACATATGGATATGTCCCGTCACTAGGAGCAGGCATTGCCTACTGCACACTCTTCGGTCTCTCGATGATACTCCACACAGTTCAATTCATCTGGAAGCGACAATGGTGGGCAAGCGTGTTTACTGTCGGATGTTTGGGTAAGACTTGTGACACTAGAAAGAAACCCTAACTTTGCGGAAGACTAACAACACCAACAGCCGAAGTAATCGGCTGGGCCGGTCGTACCTGGTCAGCCAAATGTCCATACAACGGAACTGCGTTTCTAATGCAAATTTCCACTCTCATCATCGGTAAGCTATCTTTTTCACTCTTAACCCATACTCAATCTAACATTCCACAGCCCCAACATTCTACACAGCAGGAATCTACATCCTCCTAGGCCGCTTCATCCAACTCCTTGGTCCCAAATCCTCTATCATGAAACCGAACCTATACCTCTGGATTTTCTGCACCTGTGACGTAATATCGCTCGTTATCCAAGCGATTGGAGGAGGAATGGCATCGGGAGAGGCCGACAAGATCAACGGGAATACCGATCCTGGCACGCACATAATGGTTGCTGGTATAGTCTTTCAACTTGCCTCGATCACGATTTTCGTCTTTTGCGCTGTTGATTTCATACGGCGCACTATGCGTAACCACCTGCTGCAGTCGGTGAACGGCTCGGTTATCCCTCTATTTGCAGCGATGATACTTTCGATCATATGCATCTACATCCGGAGTATCTACCGGACTATAGAATTGTCACAGGGATGGGATGGTTATCTAATCTCTCACGAATCGTATTTTATTGCGCTTGATGGGGCTATGATGGTTGTTTCTGTGGTTGTGTTCAATGTGTTGCATCCTGGATGGATGTTGCCCAATGAGAAATCTGATGTATATAAAACGGAAAGGACTCTGGTTGATCAACCGGACAGGTACCAGGGACCACCTACTCACTGGTGATTGCTTTGATCGTTGTGCTTGTTACTTGGTTTATCTGTTTTATATTCTAGGATCAGTCGTTTGGAGATTGGCCGTTTTGGGATTTGCCTTGCTTCTCTATACCTGTCTCGTTTACTTGTGATTGCCCCAGCAAATACTAGATACTTAATCGGGGTGTTGGATGTTATGAGACGTATACTGATAATTAATCTCCATTCCAAAGCATTTTGAATATATCACCCCTGGAGGTTAAAACAAGGTTGTTTTAGCCTTGTCTTTGGAACCTCCATCCAACTTTACCTACCTTACCTACCGACCTACTTTAAGCAGACCTCACCTCTAGACAAAGTTATGTAATCAATGAAAATTCCAATTCAGGTAAGAAAGACAATACATGGATACTTGGCAGTTGGAAAAAAGGATAATAAAAAAATTTAGAGAATTGGAAAGTGATCGACGCCAATATCCCCACGGCTGATCGGCAGAAGATGTACTGCGAGAGAATCAGTGTAGATAGATATTACAGTCAGGCACGCCGTACGAAAGAGGATACCAGATCACTGCATCTACCTCCCAGGCACCTGGCAAAATTGAAACGAAAATCAGACTGGGGGCACACATTCCTTCATGCTGTCGTTATAACGTATCATATCATACACCATCAACGGCTTCGACCCAGCCAAAGGTTGCTCCTACGATCAGCGTTGCAAATGCCCAAAGTGCTCCCCAAGCGGCGGCGCCTTCCACAGAAACATTGCTAATTGTGCCGGCCACTTGGACAATCGTGTTGAGCAAAACTCCAAGCGCGAGAATAATGGACCGAGAAACCAGAACTCTCGTCTTGGTGGTCAATTTGCCCCAAGTGTTGCGACAAATGGCCGCACCCAAATATTCACCCTGGCAGCATGAAGAACTAGCGGGGGTGGTTGAATAGCCAGTGGAGCTGACAAACAAAAAGTCACGCGCAGCCCATCCAGCAGGAATCAGTGTCAGGAAGAGGACAGGCAAGCCGGCGGGACCAGCATGCGCTGCGCTAATATCCGGGAGACCCTCGAAGTGAATGACCAGCTGTGTAGGAAGCCAAGTCGCATAGCTAGCGTACAAGACAACGCTAAAAATAGAGGTTGCCATGAGCGTTGTGAATACAGTGGTAATCTTATCCTGTAAGATGTTTCGATTGGCAACTGCATCAGCAGACGTATGTGAAAGATTGTGAACGGACGAGGGCTGGCGCAGGAGGGCGAAGGGAAGCGCTGTCGATACAATCGTGATCCCAAATGCTATCAGCGTAGAAGTTGGTCGGATGCCGTAAAAGAACGACAAGAGAGAGTATGTTGGTAGGTGGGTCAGGAATAAGAACGATGCCACATCGCGGCCTGATCGCAATCACAAGGTCAGTAATCTATACATTGTCTAACTAGTTGTAGGAGCCTTGTGTCCAGATGCAAGGGATCATGTATATGGTAATTGGGACTTACCATCAAATCCTAGAACCCAGGCTAATCCAACCTCCAAAGCCCTCCAGCCTATCAAGCCCCCCACTTCCCACCATTCTTCCAGGTGTTTGCTGATAGGCCCAAGATCGCCCACTGTCAAGGTCGATGAGAATGTGAACAGAACGGAGCTCACAATGAGGCTGCTTAAGACAACAATGGTAAAGCGCGCTGCGGATGGGATGCACGCCAATCGAGAGGTCTGAGCAGGGACCTTCATCACGAGCTCGCGTGCGGATCGCGCGTTGTCGCTCCACGACACAGTTCGCTTCCTAGTAGTCTTGGGTGACATTTTTTGGGCTTTCAAGTTTGAGGAACTAGGTGACTGCTATTCAGAGTTTAAAGCAAAATCACTGGCAATTGCTTTCACTCAGTTGAAGCTTAAAAGAGAAAAAAGAGAAGGCGGGTGGAATGTTTGGTTAGCGGTGAGCACACGATGACGTCACTATTTCTTTTTTTCCAAGGCCCAAATCCAAGGACTCGACTTCATGTCTGCTAGTAGGTCTAATTTTAAAATTACAGTGGGACTTCTCATTTATGGATTTAGATATGACATACTATACAAAGTAACCTTAGGTCTAATCTTGATCTTCATCTTCGCGTTCTGCCACAGCAAATTCAACTGTTCCACTCTCTCGTCCGTGGTTGTCCCGTACGACGACACGATACTTACCATTGTTCCAGAGATCTTTAATAGTTAATTCGCGAGTACGGCCAAGACTCTCAATATCTCCAATGCGCTCCACAGTGCCGTCCAAGTGCTTATCGAAGTTCTCTATAGAGCAGATTTCTCGGAAGGCACGCTGCATGGGTACTGAATCGGCACGCACCATGGCTCGCGAATCAATTGTAAAAAGATTTTCGTGATCGTAAGATTGGATAAAGTCAGCACGGGTCATGATCTCGCGCGCTTTATGGAGCGGAATTTCTGGCAAGATGTGGCCTCGCTCTGGGTGATAGTTCGACTCCATCTCTTTCTCAAGGTCTACCAGCGCTTTCGCTAAAACCACGGCGCCAGACTGTGTTGTGGTTTAGATTAGCCGGGGTTGCATCAAAGGAACAAGAACCAGAAGATTTTATAGTGTGTACTTACAGCATACTTCTGCTGGTCCATCACATCATCATCCATCTCCTTTCCGAGGATCCAGCACTTGTTTAGGAACCATGTTTTCTCGGCCAGACAGATCTCATCGCAGGTTTTCGGGATATCCTCAGACTTTGCCACGCGGTTCAAGAAGGATAGTCGACCACCAACTTTATCATAGACTTGCTCGAGGATCTCAGATGGAAGTATCTCGTTGTGGAATTGCTGGCGATATTTCTTCAAAGCACTTATCGCTTTATCCTTGGGCAGATCTGTCACGGGAATGACCTCCATGCGGGTTGCATAACGCTTCAAGCGCTCGTATACCCAATAGTCGTCGCTGTTAAGAACTTGAAAGCAACAAAAGGTTAGCCATGACAAGAGGAATGAATATTCGTCAGTCTTACTTGTTGTGACGAGGCCACTAGCAGCCCATTGCTCAGCACGCTGCTGAATCATCTCAAGCAAATCCTGTCCGTCGTGGTCGTCCCGGACTAAATGGGTACTGTTGATGATCAGTACAAGAGGAGTCGATCCATTCCGCCTTCTGGAGAGGGCCACTTTCTCTAGCTTGTTGAAGGCGCGCTCAATGTCCAAGAGAGCCGTGGTGTCTCTTGGTCCACGGATGCTGAAAAGACTACCGATATAGCTGGGTTCCTATTAGCATTATGGTTTTATGGCGATGGAAATATAAACTTACTCCTCGTGAAACTCATAGTCCAAAGCTTTGCCCAGTCGGATTCGGAAGATTTCGAGATCAGCATGCGCTTCGAACAACGCGCAGCTGTTGCCATTAATCTTGCGCATGGCCTCCAAAAGCATCGAAGTCTTGCCTGTGCCCTTTTCACCAATCATTAGATAGTAGTGGCCACTTTTTCGCCCAGCCACAATATCGTCAATTTTGGGTTGCTCGTTCCTAACGACCCAATGTTCCTCATGGTTGTACTTGTGCTTTCCAGAAACAACACCCGCGACCTCGAGGGCAGGATCACCTGGGTTGAATGCATTGTCCATCTTATCCAAGATCAAGTACTTGTAGTACTGGTGATACCCGTATCCCGCCGCGCTTGGGAGTAAATTAGCCACAGAAACGCATGGGTTGCATAATATAGGGAAGGCTTACCCTAGGATGGCAATTGATGCCGCCGTGGTTGCCGCACTTTCAAGCATCTTGAGAATCGTAGATTTAAAGCTGGGGTCTGAATCGCTGTTATGACCCCGGCCCTGGCTCTTGCTCTCACCTGAATCATTCTGATCGGTGGGGTCCGGGGTCATTTGACCAGTGTCCCGGGGGTCTGAGTTAAACCGCTTGGGTGTATGCGTCACAACACGGCAGTTAATCCTGAGGGATCTCGGCCGACCCTGTTGGGCATAGCACCTCACAGGCTGTACGAGTCGGCTCCATAGCATTGTGATTGGGCTTATCCTTTGTATTCCGGAGTGCCAAGTCCTTCAGTAAAATTTGGATAATGAAGAGTGAGAGCGTATATCTTGCTCAAAGATATTCAGCACCCTACCTAGTTTGTGTGGGACCTGTAGCAATATAAAACACCAAAGTTCAAAGAGTGTACTGCTAGAATTCTAGACTTGTAGATGGTTCAAGCAAAGCCACACCTCCAGGGAATGACGAGTTGCTGGTGAACGAGAGACTAGGAAATTGGTGGGATGAAAGAGAATGTCAGAAGAAAGAAATAAACAAAGAAACAAAGAAATGAATGAATTTAATGAATTTAATGAAAGACTAAAAGAAACAAGGCAATCCAAAAAAAAGAAATTGTGGCTAAGTTGTGGTGTTGGCCTCAGCCTCGATGAACCAAGGACACGCAAACAGAAGGCTTGGCGATCGAATGAAAAACAATCTTTGATCATATCTAGTTATTTTGTATGGGGGTGCGACACTTAACATACAAAGTATGTACTACATAATTTTTTCAATTCTCCACTTTTGTATAGTAGTATTTCATTAAATATACATAATTTGTTTTTTTTTTATTGAATTTTTCAGTCTGTGTGGAAGACAGTGGATCCAGGGGGAAAACTGGCTATTGATCTGTAGACTCTAGGAGAACAAAACAAACAAACTACATACTATGTAACTATCTACGGAGTATACGGAGTACTCCGTTCTCAGTAGGGTAAACACTGTATGGTTTCTATGCATGAGACTTGCTGGTTGGGCTTCTTCTCATTTTTATATTAGATATTTTTTGTAAAGGTCTCAAATACCTCCTCCGTAGGGGTGAATAACCACACATGTAGTTTAACTACCAGCCAAAAATACCCAGGAACAATGTCTCCCGTGGTCGGCGCAGCCTCAATTCGGTATGCAGGTATCTTTTCTTTTTATTAATGCATGTTCAAACTTGGCATTGTTACGGTGAACGGCTATTAATGGGGACGAAGCATATACATATTGTAGGGTTTTCAAGCATTTAAAATTCATGGAGGGGCTTGTTGCCCATTAATATGATGTGGAATAGCTAAAGATCTTTAAATGTCAGGTAGTTGAGCTTTTTTTTTAACCCGTTGATTTGCCATCCCTGATCTATATTTTTGTCACATATATATCCGAGCTAACAGTGTCGCTAATCTACGTCATTTGGAGAGATTCCAAGGTTGTTTCTCGAGGACATGAAATTATATATGTTAGCATCCGCACATTTAATGATAATCTGCGTGCATCTTTGCCTCGCATAGGAGCCCTTCTTTTTCAGTCAAGTATATAGTAGTTATGGATGCTACATAATGTCAGCTCCGATATCTTCGATCTTCGATGTAGGATTAACCGTCTTTACAACGTACATTTTTTTACCTTCCTCTATCTATTAATATCCAACCAAAGACAAATCTCGCCAGTGGAAATAGTTCATTACCAATGAAATAAAATGCCACGGTGTACACAATCGAGAAAATATTGATACCTGAGGCACTAAAGCACCATATAGATCTATGAAATTGATATCAACACCCAATCAATGATAATGATATAGACATAATTTAGGGAGGAATAGAGTATTTTTCCAATGTACATACAATCATCCCAAGCTAATTACACCACCTTACTCAAAAAATCACAGTCAAATTGCAGACAGTGGAGTAGAATGTCCCTCTCCGCGCCCTTCCCCGAACCCACCGCCCGAGCACTTCCGAGGGTATGCCGCATCCGAGAAATTTTCTCTCCGGTTTCCAGTTTCACCGTCCTATCCATTCATCCTTGCTTTTTTGTCAACATCCTGGGGTACGGGGTTTTTGTTTCTTGCTCAATTACCCTTGTTTTCCTTGTATACTATACTAAAATTTCTACCTGCCGATTCCCCGCAGGTCCTCAACCTTTTTTTCCCGTTCCACTTTTCCGAACTTTTGTCTCTTACCCGCGTGACGGTTGTGAGATAGGGGTTTACTGTTATTATTTCGTCGAATCCCTCTTAATAACCGGCTCGACATAATGGCAGAGACCAATGGGGAGTTGGAGCACTCGAAAGGTGTGTGTCGGCCCTGGAACCTCAATTCTGGGCAAGGTCCATTGGGATACAGCATGGGTCCCGGATAAAACAAGATGCAGGGCACATAAACTAACGGAGGAACAGAGGCTCCCCAAGCTTCCCAAGAAATTGCTAATGGCAACGCCCCCGAGGTCACCGAGGAGGACAACGCCGGTGGTATGTTGGATAACCGGATGTGGAATTGCATAGCGATATTCTAATTTGACTACAGGTCTTTTCCAGATCTCCGTGAAGCTCCCTCATGCGCCGCACAAGATTCAAGTGATGGTGGGTCTGATGTTTCGAAAAGCCACAGTGGCCACGAAGAGAAAAAAAATTATCTGACCCGTTTGTTTCTCCAGGTCTCCAGCCAAGAACAGGTCCAGGATGTCCGCCAATCTATTGTCGAGCTACCGGGTACCTTCCAATACACTTGCTTCCACCTCGAGTTTAACGGTAACCGCATCAACGACTTCGTCGAGCTGTCTGAGGTCCCGGACCTCGAGGCTGACTCCGAGATCATCCTGGTCGAGGATCCCTACACCGAGAAGGAGGCCCGCATGCATGTTGTGCGTATCAGGGAGCTAATCGGTGCCTCCGGTGACCGTGTTGACAACCTCCATGGTATTTCCGCTGGCCTGTCTCTGCACGATGCTATTACGGCAGACGCTATCAAGGGCAATGAGTCGGAGAAGGAACACTCGCTCTCCAAATATGACTTGACTGGAGTTTCACCATTGCAGACTATCCTGCCCACCGAACAGGCTCCTCTGCCTAAGACAGTGAAGTCCATCTCGTTGTCTTCATGGAACCCTGTTCCATACAACCTCCGCCAGAAGGGCCACTTGCTTTACCTTGTGGTTTCTACTAACGAAGGTGAATACTTCCAGATCACTGCCCATGTGTCTGGATTCTTCGTGAACAAGTGCTCGAACAGCAGATTCGACCCATTCCCGAAGCCAACACACCCCAAGAAGGGCAGCGCCCACTCCTTGCTCACTCTCATCTCCCAACTCTCACCCTCGTTCAACGCCTCCTTTGAGGCTCTACAGGAGTACAACAATGAGAAGGATCTTTTGACCACTTTCCCCTTCCAGAACGCCATTCCCAACAGCCCCTGGCTCATCGCCCCCAGCACCTCGAGCTTGAATGCCCACCAGCCCGATATTACTCGTTCGCAGGAGAACTACCTGATCTCTGGTGTTGATAACGCCGAGACTCTGCGCGACTGGAATGAGGAGTTCCAGACTACCCGCGAGCTGCCCCGCGAGACCGTTCAGGATCGCGTGTTCCGGGAACGATTGACCTCCAAATTGTTCGCCGATTACAATGAGGCCGCCGCTCGCGGTGCAGTCCTCGTTGCCCGGGGTGAGGTTGCTCCTCTGAACCCCACTGAGGCGCGGGACGCCCAGATTTTCGTCTACAACAACATCTTCTACTCTTTCGGTGCCGATGGCGTTGGTACTTTCACCTCCGAGGGTGGAGACGAAGCCGCACGTGTGGCCGTGGGTAAGGACGTTCTTGGTATCAAAGCTGTTAACCAGCTTGATATCGAGGGACTATTTACCCCCGGAACTGTGGTGGTCGACTACTTGGGTAAGCGTATTGTTGGCCAGAGTATTGTTCCTGGTATCTTCAAGCAGCGTGAGCCCGGTGAGCATCAGATTGACTACGGTGGTGTTGAGGGCAAGGAGGTTGTGGCCACCCACGCCGACTTTGTTCCGGTCTTCGAGAAGCTCTCCAAGGCACTGCGTGTCAAGCAGCACCCTGTCTGGGACAAGGAGAACAAGCGCCACGACCTGGAAGGTAGCGTCGAGACCAAGGGACTCTTGGGTACTGACGGCAGGAAGTACGTCCTGGATCTCTACCGCGTAGCTCCTCTGGATGCCGCGTGGCAGGAAGAGGATGGCAGCGATGTTTACCCCCACCGCATGTCCGTTCTCAGACTTGAGTTGGTTGAAGCATACTGGCGCCACAAGATGAGCCAGTATGTCAAGGCCGAGGTGGAGAGCCGTAAGGCTGCTAGCGCCGAGGCTGCCAAGGAGGGCAAGACCGAGGAGGAGAATGCGGACCAGGAGCGTGTTGACATCTCTGGATTCAACTTTGCTCTCAATCCCGATGTTTTCAGCGGCCAGGTGCCCCAGACCGAGGAGGAGAAGGAGCAATGGGCAAAGGATGAGCAGGAAGTTCGAGATGCCTGTGATTACCTGCGATCCAAGGTCATCCCCGACCTGCTCAAGGACCTGCACGACGGCGATGTTGGCTTCCCCATGGACGGTCAATCGCTGACCCAGCTGTTGCACAAGCGTGGTATTAACCTCCGTTACCTCGGAAAGTTGGCCCAGCAATCCACCGAGAAGGGACCTCGCCTCCAGGCCTTGTCCATCCTCGTGGTTCAGGAAATGATCACTCGTGCCTTCAAGCACATTGCCAACCGCCACTTGAACAACGTTCCCGCCCCCTTCGTCGCCTCTTGCCTTTCTCACTTGCTGAACTGTCTCCTCGGCTCAGATGTCAACGCTACTCCTGAGGCGGAGATTGACGAATCTCTACGTAAAATTTTCCCTGAGGGCGATTTCTCTTTCGAGAAGGTCACTCCCGAGTCCCTTCGGGCCGAGCTTGAGAAGCAGGTTACCATCCGTTTCCGCTTCTCCCTCGAGGAGAACTGGGCCAACTCTCTGAGACACTTGCAGCTTCTGCGTGACATCTCCATCAAGTTGGGTCTCCAACTAGGTGCCCGTGACTTCGCCTTCACCAAGGCTCAGGTCAAGGAGCAGGTTATTGTTCCTGTCACCAACGGCTCTACTCAAGAGGAGCCTAAGAAGAAGGGCAAGAAGAAGGGTGGCGACAAGTCTCCTACCCGCACCGCCCCGGCGCCGGCTAAGCCTGCTGTCACTTTCACTGCTGATGATATCCTGAATGTCGTTCCTTTGGTCCGCGATGCTTCTCCCCGCAGCGCATTGGCAGAGGAGGCCCTGGAGGCCGGTCGTATCTCTCTCATGCAGAATCAGAAGCAATTGGGCCAGGAGCTCATCCTTGAGTCTCTGTCTCTGCACGAGCAAATCTATGGCATTCTGCACCCCGAGGTCGCCAAGCTTTACCATCAGCTTTCCATGCTGTACTACCAGACCGACGAGAAGGAGGCTGCTGTGGAATTGGCCCGCAAGGCCGTCATCGTCACCGAGCGCACCATGGGTGTCGATTGTGCTGACACTATTCTGAGCTATCTCAACCTGAGTTTGTTCGAGCATGCCTCTGGCAACACTAAGACCGCCCTGGTTTACATCAAGCACGCCATGGATGTCTGGAAGATCATCTACGGTCCTAACCACCCCGACTCCATTACCACGATGAACAATGCCGCGGTGATGCTGCAACACCTTAAGCAATACACCGATTCCCGCAAGTGGTTCGAGGCCTCTCTCTCCATCTGTGAGGACTTGTTTGGCAAGGACTCCATCAACACCGCCACCATTCTCTTCCAGCTTGCCCAGGCCCTCGCTTTGGACCAGGACTCTAAGGCTGCTGTCGGCAAGATGCGCGAGGCATACACCATCTTCCTCGCTCAGCTTGGACCCGAAGATCGTAACACCAAGGAGGCTGAGAACTGGCTCGAGCAGCTCACCCAGAACGCTGTCTCTATCGCCAAGCACGCCAAGGACATCCAGGCTCGTCGCCTGCGCCGCAACCCTCTGAACCCTCGCGTGTCTTCTATGGGCACCCGTGTTCAGCCCCAGGTTGGCCAGACTGCGCCTGAAATCGCCGCGCCTGCCGACCCCTCGGGTCTCGACTCTCGCAGCATCGACGAGCTTCTGAAGTTCATTGAAGGTAGCGACGCCAACTCTTCGCGCAAGCAGAAGAAGCGTGCCGCCACCAGCAACCCCAAGCTTCGTGGCTCCAAGCAGTCCAACAAGGCATAAATGATTTCCCAGGCAGCTAATTCCAGCCGATTTAGACTGCATTAATTGGCTCCCGTTCTTATTTTCTTGGTTATTACATGTGTTAACAGTCAAATACTATATATCTATGTGCATTGTCATTTTGGGGATCGGTGGGCAGGCTTGATGAGCGAAAAGAACTGTTGTACTACTTTAGATCTCTCTCCTCTCTTATGTTTTTTTTTTCTCTTTCATGTTTGGTTTCATCTGCCAGGTTGGGTTGTCTCTCGGGCCGTGCATGGAAAGGACTCGGTTGTCTTATATGGGCTCATATCTGGTGCATTATGCGGATCTGCCACTTGGGTCATTTTCTCTTTCTAGGTAGAATCCATTACGTTCATATGCAAATACTTGATAGATACCCTGAAGAGTGATGTGCCAGACTAAGAAGATCGCCATAATAGGCAATATGTGTTGACTCTAAGGGCCACTTTACCGCATTAGGTAATGTTTGTTTTCAAGGTTTGTTTGCCGCGCATCCAATGTTGTCATTCATTTTCCACTTAACACGCTCTATAATTCTTCGACATATCTTATTTACATTGGATTATTGCTGCATTATTGGCAATACCTGGTGAAGTGCCATCATTGTTCCTATCATGTATCATTGAAGGGGTTTGTTAGTACAGCGAGGTACGACTTCAATGACTAAGAGAATAACTTGTGACAGTGCTGATTCTTCTCATAGTTGTATGCTACTAGCAGATATTATTATCCGATTTGTCCTTAATGGAGGGCGCCCAAGCCACCGCAAAATGGGCAAACCGTGTCCTGCGCCCCTTGACCTCCATCTGCCGTCGAATCGCGAAGCACAAAGAAAGGGTGCCGATGATCGCGACCGAGTCAAAACCACAACAATCTGCAGAGAGCAATGATGCGCCTACTTTGGAGACCGACTGCAAACCAGAAACCGAGCGCAACTGCTCAGGCTCAGATGCGGATCCGGATGAAAATGACCCAGCTTGGATTCCAGGGAAAAAACCCGAGCGACGTCGACCCAGACATAAGTATTCGACCAAAGCAGAGGAGACTGGCGGCAAAAAGCGCAACAGACTATCAATACACAGCCCGGAAGCCTCACGTACACTGCCCGGCGCTATCGAGGTTGCGACACCACTCATCACTGGGAGGAGATGGGAGATGCCCCCAAGTGTACAGTCAGAACGTCCAGAAGGCCAGGCCAACCCTAATATCCAGCCATCACAGCCGCAGGTCTTCCGTGATCGATATTCACTCCACAAAAGCCCTTGGCAAGAACTTCTCGACCAGTCTGGTGATCCGGGCTTCGCCGACATAGCACACAACCTTGATCGCGTCTTCCAAAATTTCCTTTGCAACACTGCGATATCTAAGCGAGAATTGAAGCCTGCACTCGAAAGCAGCAGGCGTGGTGCACGATCCTTGCTATCCATGGTGACGCGAAGTCTGCCTGACTTTATTGCGAGCGAGCAAGAAGCGCAGGACAAGTTGGACGAAAACGGGGATGAAGATATGTGCGATGCATATTTTACAGAATTGGAAGCATTTTATGCGCCTTATGGGACGGGCTGGAAGCCACTCCGGCAGGCTGTCCGCGCACAGGGTATCTACTTGGTTTCTACGCTGATACAGAATCATTGGATAACAGATTCTATTGCTTGTGCACTGATTGAGAAATGCCGTTCCTTTGCACCCGAAGAAAGTGACTCATTACTTTCCACATTGCTTTCCACACGCAGGAATTACCCATACCCTCAGGCTTTAAGGCCGGTGATTGATCATAACCCTTCGGATCCGATCCGATTGTTACGCAAATATGCTCATCATGGCGTTGCCAATCGCTCTTATATCTTTGACGAACTTGCGAAACTTCTCTTGCGGGGAGTGCTCCCCCCAGAATGGATGGGAACTAAGTTATGGACTAGCTGGATGACAAGAGCAACGATATCACTTTCAAAAGAGGATGAAGACTGTCCCGCGGCTATGCGATTGATTGAAGCTGTGATTCTCTCAGCTAGTGATGTCCGCCCTGTCACCGCTGCTCGGAGTCCTACACCAAAACTTCCTGCGAAGGGGAAGATTGCTCGTGCTCGTGCGACCAGAGTTGCCTCTACCACAGCGTGGGAAATCTCAAATCTTGCTCGGCCTTGTCCCTTGCCAGTGGAAGATGCATTGAGCAATCACGTCATAAGCCTCATCGCAGCGCTGTGTGGTATGCACATTTCACGATCTCGTGCCTCCGACGCCGCTGATTGTGCGCATGGAACTGAGGCGAGCTATATTATCAGCTATCTGTACATCGCCCTACAGCGAGAACTGGACTCAAATTCTGTCGCGCAGCGACCTGATAGCACCCCTCATCAATTGTTACGGCGTGGCTGTATCTTGCTAGCCGCCAGTCTTGTACAGTGCAACGACAAAATTTTATTGGACAATATCCATTTTGTGATGGAATCAACAGCCAGTGTTGATGAATCAGCGGAGATTATAGCATCTCATTTAGATATGGTTAGAGAGTTAGCATTGTTTGTGCACCAAGCGTTTCGCTGCCTCAGAAAAAAGGCAGAAGATGAAACCGTACATACTAGCGGCGAAATACGTGATATGATTTCGCAACTTGCCCGCTTGGCCGATGCACCGGCCTTGTCTACCTTTCTTGGGCGAGTGGCTGCAGAAGCCGCCATGGAGTTTGCAGAAACTACAGGAGATCCAGATGACCACATGTGGGCCATCGATGTCCAAGAGGCGGCCGTCACAGGACAGCGCCAGGAAGAGACTCTCCAAAGGTCTGTAGAAGAACCTAAGCCATCTAGTCAGGGTACAGGCCTGTTTCGCTGGGAAGATAGCATAGGCGAGTGGGTGGCATCTACGCCAACGACCAAGGCAAAGCCTATCCTAGTGCAAAAAGCGCAAAGACCCATGCGCATGCTATCAAGCCCAGTGCCGTGCATCGATTCCTCTTCAGACACAGACAGCAGTTCACCTGTGTCTGACCGTTTCCAAGACTCTGTCTCAAGCCTGGCCTCATCTCCCCCGCTGATGGTGACCAAGCGCACTTTCGAGGACACCGAAGCCTCATCCATACGGCCTAGAAAACGACAACGACCCACTCCAGTGGTTGTAGTCGACAGGGGTGGGAATAGTCCCGAAATACGGTCTCCTACTCTGGCCAGATACAATTCTACTGTGGAACCCGTCAACCGTCGAGGCATTCTGCGAGAGCGCAGCACCAATCTGACTAGCCGGACGACCCCCGCAATAAAACAGGCGCGAAAGCTTGAAGTCGTGATCATCAATCACAAAGAAAGCAGCCCACGTCAGCCTACTGTTCGGCCCACTTTGGAGCGTGCTGCGAAGCAAGTCCATCGCACAGTAGAGAGGAGAAGGTCTACGCGCCCTTCAGTTTCAACCATGCGTCGTATTGTTGAATCACCGCCCTCTCGACAAACGGTCATTCCATGTGACCAGGATGACTGCAGTGACGACGAGCTTAGCTTTTTCTGAGCGGGGTCCGGGATTTTTTTTGACAGTTTGCCTAGGCAGAGTGTCGAGTATCAGAGTCTCTTGGTTCATGATACTGGGGTGTGTATCCCATTTTACATTGTAAACAGATCTCTTGGCTGTTTCATGGACAGGCTTGACTGAATGTTCACGAGATCTTGATTGATTTTATTTGGAAGGGGAGGATAAGGATGGGCGATCCGCTGTTGTTTTTAGGAAGCTGGTGTTTAGGTTTTGATTTGATACCCATGGTCTTCTTGGATTGGTGTTTTTACTGTTGAGGTAGTTTGTCCAGGACCTCGATAATTTGGTTTATTTGCTCAACTTTGGCCTAGTATTTGGGCCTCATGCCAACGGAAAAGAATTCACATTTTGACATTTGACCCGCGACGAGTTGCGGGTGCACTTTATCTGGCACACAAGATACCTAAACTAAATTGCTACCGACGAAACTCCGGCGCCAACATGACCTTGAATGATATAGATCTGCAGCACACAATCCAGGTATAAGATATCGGATTATACTCTGTACATATTTTTCTGTTTCATCGCCAAACTACGGGGTATAGGACCAATGACAAGAATAACCATTCCAAGTCAGAGGACGTTTCCCCGAAATTCTCGAATAGAAATTCTCCGAGAGAGGATATTAAGGTCTAATATACATGAAATGCCAAGAAAACACCCCCTGAAGGCATAACCTTTTACAGTGATGACCCGAAGGATGACTGGAGCAATAGCCTATGGCCGGACTGTTTCATAACCCCTAATATGGATTACTCCGTTTGTTTTAATGTGTGATTGAGCTGACATGAGCGCTAAAGACTCGTCGAATATGAAAACGTGACCCCACAAACTCTCCTTTTCTCCACTACCAGACCGCAGATTGGTTCATCGATGAAGCAAAGGCCCCCTTTCTCAAACAACTAGTCGTAGGCCAAGCATTGACGCGGATCTATGCTGGTCTGACTGGCGTTTGTTGATCCTTGTCAAACTCTGCCCGTCCACTGGTTGTTTCACTGTGAATCAGTGCTGGCCAGTCACAGCCCTTAATTGGTTTCCCTCCACTTTGCGACAACTTGGGCTCGACCTGTCGCGTGTTCCAGGTCCATCTTCTTCCAAAGCCTGCTGAGCCTATCTGTAAATATGAGCTTTTGATTCGTTGCAATGGATCTGCAGGATCGTCTGCCTGTACAACGTCTACACACATGGGCAACCCCTTACACCGATCAGTGGTACCAGCGCCTAAAACCCCCTCTTTCGAGAAAATTGAGAAAAGTCCCGAAAATCAAGATTGAAATAATCGAACTCCACATGATACGGGCCGTGCTGGAGGTGGAGCCTTGCTTGAATTCTACATATTGGTACGGCTGGCCCTGACTCTGTCTCATACTCTCTCCACTGGACTGGACACAAGGGGAAACAGTCCTTTCTTCTATTTTCGATCTTTTATTGTTCCTTGTTCTTTTATTTTTACGAGAATCAACAATCAACATTGTCTCATATCTTTTGCCTTTGTTTTCGAGACAATCTTCATTGTTGTCACCGTGGACAAATTCCCATCTTTAGCCCTTTTTTTGCAGTGACCGGATCACTAGCATTCCTCTCGTTGCCCGTCGACAACAGCCTTTAACAAACGTCGCTCGCTGTTCTGTGGACATTTTTGCTTCTCATTGAGCCCAATTCGACTGATAAAATACCGACAAACTGTTTTTATTCCATATTTTCCCTTGATTTCTATACATTGGATATAGGCAGGTCCTTTATTTGACACCAGCCACCCGACAGAAAACCTTATACGGCTGAATCCCTTCAATCCTTGCGTCTGTTGTTTGACCAAGTACCCTGTGGTAGTTTCGTTTGCTGTTTTACTCCTCGACAATATCTTCCAAATCTTCCGTGGCATCGGCCCGGATATCAACGTTCCCCTTTTTCAATACACTCTTTTCTAGCGAGCTGGCCTCGCTAAACGACAAACTAAGTGCAATCCTAAGCACTCGACGTGCAGCATCTTTAGTGGGTCGTCATGCACTCCTTTCTCCTGGCGGTGTCCCTCGCTGGACTGACCAGCGCAACGAATCCTGAATCCATCGAAAAACGAGATGGTGGTTATTCTGTCTACTATGAAGCCATCAACGATGATCTGGCACGTTATACAATCCTCGCCCTTGGCTGTGCTGCCGCCATTTATTACATCTGGCAGCTTATCTTCCGCTTCTCTCGCCATCTTCGACGCCTGGCAAGCTTTAGCGATGACCGGCAACGGTATTTCGTCTCTACACACAATGTCTTTGCCTGGATCAAAGAACATATCATCTATGCCGCATTGTTCCGCAGCCGACACAACCAGGAACTCCAGCTCTCATCAGCTATTAACATGGGCACGTTGCCTAGCCGCTTCCATGCTTTCCTTATCACCGGCGTTATCGCCATGAACGTCACGCTCTGTTGTGTTACATCTCCTTATGGATCCACAGAAGACACGCTTGCTGGTGTTATTCGTAACCGCACCGGAACTATGGCAACCGTGAACTTGATCCCATTGGTCCTGATGGCAGGCCGTAGCAACCCTCTGATTGCTATGCTCCATGTGCCTTTCGATACCTGGAATCTGCTCCACCGATGGCTCGGCCGCATCGTGGTGCTAGAGAGCCTTGCACATATCTTTGCCTGGGCTATCCCCAATGCCCAAGAGAAAGGCTGGAAGGTTGTCGGAATGGCTATGACTGGAAGCAGCTTTCTGCTGACCGGCTTGGTGGCTGGTTGTGCACTCACTGCGCTCTTAGTGCACTCGCCCTCACCTATTCGCCATGCATTTTATGAGACATTCCTCCACCTGCACATTGTCATTGCAGCCGTTTCCATGGGTTTCCTTTGGGTCCATCTCAACGGGATGATAGCGCAAACCTACCTGCTTGCCTCCATCATCCTCTGGGCCCTCGAGCGAGCCACTCGCTTCCTCATCATTGTGTACCGCAACTGCGGTCGTGAATCCACAACCGCAACCGTTGAGGCCATGCCCGGTGACGCAATGCGCATTACCCTGCGCATGGCCCGCCCCTGGACCTTCCGCCCAGGCCAGCACATCTACCTCTACATCCCAGCAGTGGGCTTGTGGACCTCGCACCCGTTCTCAGTTGGCTGGAGTGAAACGGAAGACAGCAATTCCGATGAGAAGTCCCTCCCACTTTCAAACAAAGACCTCCTCAGCGCACCCAAAAAAGAAAGCATTTCCCTGCTCGTCCGTCGCCGCACCGGAATGACGGACAAGCTCTACCAACGCGCTGCGAACTCTACGAGTTCACGGATTACCCTCCGCGCTTTCGCCGAGGGCCCATACGGTAACATTCACACCATGGATTCATACGGCACAGTGATGCTCTTCGCTGGCGGAGTCGGTATCACCCACCACGTTCCCTTCGTCCGCCATCTGGTCGCCGGGTTCGCGGATGGCACCGTCGCCGCCCGTCGCGTCACACTCGTCTGGATCATCCAGTCCCCCGAACATTTGGAGTGGATTAGACCCTGGATGACCAGTATCTTGGCGATGGACCGCCGCCGTGAAGTCCTGCGCATCATGCTCTTTATTACACGCCCGCGCAACACTAAGGAGATCCAGAGCCCCTCTGCAACTGTGCAAATGTTCCCTGGCCGTCCTAATATTGACACATTGGTGGGAATGGAGGTTGAGAATCAAATTGGCGCTATGGGTGTTCTGGTCTGCGGTAATGGCGGTCTAAGTGATGACGTTCGCCGCGTTTGTCGGAAGAGACAGGCTCATTCCAATGTTGATTATGTGGAAGAGAGTTTCTCTTGGTAAACTGATATATGTGATAGATATAAGTTGCTTTTTGGCGTATGAGCGTGTTTGTTGTCATGGTCGCTGTCGCCTTTTTACGTACGGTTATACTGTTGTATAATCTTTTACTTGTCTGCTCGGTTTGCTCTGCAGCTGGTTTTTCTTGTGCAGATTTTTCGTTCTTTCTAACAGTGACCTTCCTGTCATTATAGGAATTTATAGAGTTGTACATATATCTTTCCTGCAAAATGCAAGATTTGATCAAAAATTGTTCCTAACTTGAGCATCGAGGTTCACTAATCATGTAGACAGCAGTTCACGGAATTGTAATAATGATCAGGCTTTCCTTCATAAAAACGCATTGAGCTTGTAGGAACTTGTTTGATGAACATCCCAAGTCCTGCTCGCAGTCTCCCACCTCCAGTCCAAACTAACTATGACAACAGTACAGCTAGACCCTAATTAAACAGAAACAACTCATTAGGCACAATAAAAAGCATCGGCAGACATTATATCCCCAGTTCCTTTGTACTTCGCTCGTTGGGGGTATGGGCACAGGATTCTATCGTATGTCTTCCCATTTTCCGGGGAGTATTTCACTGGAAGACTTGTAGGAGCATTGCCAGACTCGACCCACGCGACAAGGCTGTCGAACATAGTAGAAGGATATCCTCCTTTGGTGCCAAAGCAATGTCCCATCATTGGAGCTTCAAACAACTTATAGTACTCATGAACACTCGAGTCGCCGCCAGCTACCGCTTCGTAATATGACCTCGTGCCGTTTGGAGGAATTACCTCGTCCATCTGCATCAAAAATTAGTCTAAGTGTACTTCTTGAACAAACAATATGAAACGCACCAAGCCATGATATGTAAGCATCTTTCCCCCAGCGTCACGGAATTTCGACAGATCTGGGTTATTCGTCCCAAAGACCGAATTCCATTGCTGGACAGACTTTCGGAAAATGTGGTCATATTTTTGGTGTGTGATGTTACTCAGGGTAAAGTTCAAGTTATGCTCGACAAACACCTGAGCCCATCGATCATACAGCTGGCTGGATACCGCAGTGCATGTCCCGTTGGCACACTTTGTATTTGCCGGGGTATTTTCTCCGGTCAATTTAGTCCCGGGATTGAAGCCATGCCACAAGAAGTTGCCCTGTGAGTTTTGTGCTCCGGTCCAGGTAGCATTGATAACCTTCGCAGTAGCTGCCGAGATTCTCAACTGAGAGCCAGTATCACTACAGTTGATTTGGGTTCCCACTAGAGCAAACGGATCAAAGACACATGAGTCCGGGTCCGAGATTATCCCATCCACGACGCCGTCAGCGCTATCACAGGTGGATAGTGCAGCGTCCGTCACAGCTTCGATCTCGCAAGGGTGTGGATATTCATTGAGCTGGTTCATGATGAACTGAGCCCAGTATCCTCCAATCGACAGTTGTGGCCAATGAATTGCCGGGGCAGAAGCAACAATCCCATCATATGCTTCAGGATATTGCTGGGCGAGCGCTAGACCCTGTCGGCCGCCTTGTGAGCACCCAGTCCAATAAGAGTATTTGGGTTTCGATCCATATACACTCTCTGCCAAGCTCTTTCCAATGATGGCAGCATCGCCAAGAGAAGCAATGCCAAAGTTATAAATGGCATCATAGTCTGGCATTCCGTTTTCCAGAAGACCCCAGTCGGCAGGGTCGTCGCTTGTGTGGCCGCCATCGGTTGAGATGGCGACGTAGCCTTCCGTAGCTGCTGCGATCATTCCATATGCTGTTATGGATGAGAGCCCGGCTGTATAGCCATTCCCTCCAATTCCTTGTAGTCGCTCATTCCAGGAGTTGCTGGGCAGAAGAACGCCGACGTTGATGGTGTCATTTTTGGCGTTGTGTTTATAGGTCACTGTGACATTACAGAAGTTGAGGTTTTTGGCTGTCACACTGCCGTGGTTGTAATAGTACCACTCTGGAATGTATTCGGATACATTTGAGACTTGGGAAGCTTGTATTGATAGCACTTCAGCGCCTGGTATGTGAGGATATGAAAAGGCCTGAGCCGAGCACAATGATGGAGAGAGGCCGGTCATAATGTGAAACCCAAAACTCTGGAGACTTGGCTTGGAGGAAAGAATTTGCGTATTTGGATTATGAGGGGTCATACTTAAACATATCGTGCTATTGTTCATTGTTTGCTTCTTAGGTGGTACATATACGCGTATTCGGCATCCACGGGACTCGAATATTGCTGCCTCCTACTAAGTAATCTGAAATTTTGTACTTCTCTGCGTTGATCTATGTACATCTAGACAGAGATACGGTAATGGATGCGAGCTATAATTACACTCCACTCCGAGAGGCAAAAGCTATACGCGTATTCAAACCCGAGGCAAAGTGGAGCATGGGTCCGAGACCCTAAACTTGGATGGCCCTATTTGTACGAAGTAAATCAAGGAGTGTTCTCGACTAACTATTGGGTGATATCTACTAGAGGAATTATACTCCATGATGGTAAATTATGAAAGGAATAGTCGACGTGTTAATATAGGGAAAAGCAATCGTTCTATAACAAACAAGAGAAGACTAGATGCTCAAAGTCTCCAAAGAAAAGGAAATCAAAAATTCCAAGTAAAGGACAGTTTACAGAGCCTCAATTCACGCACAAGAAATTCAAACCTCAGAATAACTGTGTGCAAGCGGTATGCTTCTCTCGGGATCTGCATCAAGGCTCATTTGGTCTGGATACCAAATGAAGAAAATAAGCATGACAATTGCCATCGGTACGCTATCGAAAACATATAATGTCCACTCATGCATAAGAGGATAACCATCATTATCCATGACATATTCAATGATCCGGAAAATAGAACGGACCAAAATGAGGGCACTGACAGCATATAACATATGCAATGATTGTTTCCATGGAATAGCGGGCTTGAGGCACTCAGGAGTGGGTTCGCGACGAAGACGCTTTGCGAAAATGATTGCTGTAACCCAAAAGAGCGAAAACGAAATCAGTTGAATCGCCAAACCGGCAACGACACAAACCTTTCCCCATTGCGCGTATCCCAGAACTGAAAGAGATGAGGAATTTCCCTGGACAATGAAGGACACCACATCGCCCCAGACAAATGTTTTTGTGAGTCGTGAGACACGGATGACAGAAAGAGGTTCTCCTTGAACTCTACGGATGAGTCGACCAAGCGTCATATAGATAGAAGCGGCGAAAAGCGTAGGACCGAGCAGAATAAACACGTTGGCAATGATGTATGGTCCCATTGTAATCGTATTATTGTGTGCAATGCACCGGCCAATGTAACCGATGATCTGGACTTGATTTTAATGCAGGTCAGTGTCTGGTCTTGTGCATGGAAGAGTAATATTACAAGGGAAGGGAGTTCACATACAAAAGCCGCCTATGGCAAATGCTATACAAAACCAGGTCCTGGTTCTGAAAAGCTTCCAAGAAACAAGACCCGTTAGGACAATGAATATCAGCATGAAAATGACCGCAGCTGGTATCGAAGGTGTATAGTTCCAAAATTTGTAGGAACGAGACGCGAGTTGATACATGTTTGGCCCCGTAGAGAAAGAGAAATAAAGAGGTAGCTTGTCTAAGGAGACCTAACTCAAAGGACTCAGAGTCTTTATAAAGTATAGATTTTGGATATTTAGAAACATTTTTTATCAAGTTTTTAGGTTTATAGATCGGATTGCAGATACGCGTATAGAGAGGACCCACAATCTTTGAACTAGTCTGGAAAGAGATTCATTTCCGAACCTTTGGAAGCTTCTATAAAAACATCGCCTCTCTCTTTTTTTCCGTCCATGGTAGCCCTTTCACACTCTCAGTATCTATATCTTGCGAGAAGCAAATGAATGTACCTCTATATTATGAACACGTATGGTGGCTTGTCGTTTATTATACACCAAACTTAGGATATTCTCTGATGCCACCCTTTTCTTCCTTTTCTTTATTCCCCCAATGGTGCTGAGTTGTGGTATACATTCAAGCTGAGGATATCTGATAGATGATGTTTGCTAGCAGACTGAGTGTTCTAAGATGATTTTCCAGGATATAAATACCCTGGCTTTGCTAGATTGAATGGCCTTAATTTCTTTTCCCTTTTTCCTTCCCTTTCCTCACCAGTAGCATCAATAGTATGTATATTCAAGCTTGAAATGTTGTCTGGCAGGGGAAAGGTGATACTGGTCTAGTGGCTAGCATCACCTCCCCCTTTTTCTCTACATATGCGTGATCAACTGTTCGTTTCCCACGCGTGGTAGATCTCTCTTTTTACCTTTATGGTACTGAGGTCTTGGAATGTGGTATGTATATCCAAGCTTGAGATATTATCTGATAGGGGGAAGGTGATGCTGGTTTAGCGGCCAGCATCACCTCCCCCTTTTTCTCTATCTATACATGATCAACCGGTCGTTTCCCGCGCGCAGCAGTATTTTTTTTTTTGGCTTCTTATTTCTTTGCCAGTCATTTTTGGTGTATATGTGCCTGATATTATATGCTTCCTTTGCTACGTCCGACGACATGGGGAAAGAATACAGTCACTAGCATTTCGCCCCTATTGACACTACTATATTACATCTACGCCAGTGAGAAGTTATATATTGATGCAAATAGAGGAGATAGCTACACTAGGTGGTTAAACAATTCAGATGAGAGACGAGAGACGACAAAGCAACACCGGTCTTCTAGCCACGAGAATTCAGTACGGAGTCCTTCATGCTATTTATCCAACTTAGCCTTCTCTCAGTGCTGTAGTGTTTGCATTGGCTCAGAGACATAGCCATCCCATTCAAGGGATGCTTGTGATAACCGACGACGCATTTATTTATGTCATGCTATTACTAGCATCGAAGGTTGTTCGGGTGTCGATAATGCCGAGCAACATCGGTAGATAAAAGGTTGCTAAATAAATCCAGCGGATTATTGTGCAGGTCAAGCATGCAGGCCCAGTGAAGCGGTGGAGGCCGTGAGGTGGATTACCGTATAGGGTAATTTGGTCACTATGCTGTGGTGAGATCACTCCACCAGGTACATTTTCAAACACGCCATTTAATGCATCGTGCCCAATATCAATGATGTCCATGGAGAGATCGTAGTAGCGCATGAGAATATGGCTTTCTCTGTCTCTTTAGATATGCAGCTCAAGACCTTGCCTGCGAGCCCAGGCCAAGGTGACATCCCAGAACTCAATTCATGAAAGCCAACGGTATTTTGATTTGAACAGGGTCTAACACGTTGGGACAGACATCCACGGTCAGTAAAGGGACAAGACCGGAGCGAACTTTTCGAAGAGTGATTCATGCCATATCTTGATAATAAGCTCAGGAGAGAGGAATAGAAAGAGAGGGCATGCTATTAAGTTGGGCGTAATTAATGTAATAGTCTTCAAGTGCCAGTAGCATGAAAGAGTGGCAATTAGATGATGAAAAAGTTGACTCTAGAATGAAAAAAACGAACAAGAACAAATTTATCGTTTATACCTATATACTAGTATGGATAAATTTGTATATTTAAATATGTAAGATGGCTTCAAATGTTTGTTTGTAACTAGATAGAGTCGTTGCGATTAGTAAATTCAGTTTCTTCCCTCCAACTATCGGCTCTCTGCTTTCCTGTGATGGGATTCAATTTAATTCAAGGTAATATAAGAGATGCTATGTAAAAGATGTTTACCACATATTTCAGGTATAAGGTACATTTCTCTTCTCAGTGTTTAGAGGGATAAAAAAACAGGTATAGCAGCCAACCAAGGAATGAAAAGAACATTGGATCATTTCCCTCCCCTGGGGACGGCTTTTCACTGCGTAACATTTGATATGTCTGATTCTCTGACAAATTCGTGACTCCTGGTAGGACCTACGATATTCTTTTCTCGATCTCAGAACCACAACTACGCCGTGATAAATCCAACTATGCACAACATGAGGTACGCCTTCAAATTTCTAGCTGTTTCCAATGTTTCTCACAATTACAGTGCATTTCAATGAACATAACAGGAGATCTTAAAAGCCAAGGGCCTGGAAAACTTCCTATCATCCGAGATAAAAACAGGTTCTTCCATTTTCTAATACAATTGTCAGCAAGAGTAAACTGATACCACCGGGAAGCTCATTCCACAAGTGCCGCAAGCTTATAAATCCAAGTGGGGGAACCCAGAAGACTAACATGACGTCAATCATCACAGAAATCATCACATACATAAACCATTGATCTATCCTCATTAATCCAACATCTCAAAAATCTTCAATCATCTTTTTCCCTTATCCTTGTTGCTTTATCAATATGACTCAACCAAATATCACCCTATACACGGCCCAGACCCCCAATGGCATCAAGATCTCCATAGCGCTAGAGGAGCTTGGGTACAGTGGTTACCTTAACCTCTTAAGACTTAGTCCTAACATACTGCAGCATACCGTACAAGGTTGAGAAGATTGATATCTCGAAGAACGTTCAAAAGGAAGAGTATGTGCTTACACCTCTATAAACACCCACACAAACAGATCTAACCGCCGTACAGTTGGTTCCTAAAAATCAACCCCAATGGCCGCATCCCTGCCTTGACAGACACTTTCAGCGATGGCCAGGAAATACGGTTATTTGAGTCTGGTAGCATCTTGGAATACCTGGCAGAACAGTACGACACAGATCACAAGATCTCATTCCCCAAGGGCACGCGAGAATACTACGAGACGAAGAGCTGGCTGTACTTCCAGAATGCAGGCCTAGGACCCATGCAAGGCCAGGCCAACCACTTCTCGCGGTACGCACCAGAGCACATTGAGTACGGCGTGAACCGATACGTCAATGAGTCGCGCCGATTGTATGGTGTTTTGGACAAGCACCTCGCTGAATCCAAGTCTGGTTATCTTGTTGGAGATCACGTCTCTATTGCCGATATCTCACACTGGGGGTGGATAGCTGCTGCAGGGTGGGCCGGTATCGATATTGATGAGTTCCCGAATGTCAAGGCTTGGGAGGAGCTTATGGCGCAGCGACCGGGTACTGAGAAGGGTCGTCATGTTCCTTCTCCTCATACTATTAAAGAACTCATCAAAGATAAGGTGGCTGCGGATAAATCGGCTGCTGAAGCTAGGGCTTGGGTTCAAAAGGGGATGCAAAGCGATGCCAATCGCAAAGCTTAACTAAAGCACCGATGAAGTATTGCTGGGATATTAATGACAGTTGAATAGCAGAGCAGATAGTTTGAAATGAAATTCGAATCAAGAGACCCATAAACTTTACCTCGTTGGGGAAAAAAAATGTATTGGTGTCCACTGTCATGGTACACTCCATGTAGGTGCATACATAGGCGTTTAAAGCAAATCGGTCAATGTATGAACTCGGAGTACGGGCGACTTTGGAAGTGTGCCGGGGCACAACTCTCTCATTGGTTAATATCGCAGAATTTTAGATACACTAATTGGTCAGAAATCAGACCATAAGGATCCTTCTGACCTTTCAGTAGTATCTGTTGGTCAATAATGAAAGGAATAAGGCATACATGATATTTTCGTGGGTGCCTTAGGCCCCACATCCCACTGAGAGGTCAGAAGGATCCTTCCAACTGGTGTGGGATCACCTAATTAGTTGTTGGAAATATTGATGTTTTATAAAATTGGCACCAAATGTTGACGCTATTTGCACGGTGCAAATTGCATCTATACAAATCCTAGAATTCCCTTATTTCTCGGTGTTGAAGTGTGCCTACTGTGCAACCTTCCCTTCTCTTCCCATCTACCACAGTGCGCTCACTCTGGCTACTACTCGAAGCTTCCCGCGAGGTAATCTATACGTCCTTATTAGAGTACGGGCGACTAATTGAGCCACCTAGACACAACTCTCTCACTGGATAATATTGCCAGGCAGTATTTTAGATCCAACTGTACGGAGTAGTAACCCCAAAATATACCTATGGGACAAAACGAGAGTTTTTATCAATTGCCCTGTAAATATCAATACTGGAGTTAACTTTATGTATCTATATAATATACAAAGTCAGGCCTAGGGTAGGTAGTATACACCGCTACATTCGGGCAGTTACACGATCAGCGATAGTGATCGCCCAGGACGGCAAACGTTATCTACCACGGGAGGGTCACAAGCACTTTCAATATCACTACCTCAATAATCAACTAATTATTTTGAAAAAAACCCCTACAGCTAAACTACTATATTTTTAAAGAAAGACTTATTTAAGAATATATATCTTCGTGGTATAGAATTACATTTTTTAAAAATAACCAAGGATAATAATAATAGTTCTAAGAAAATATATATCTCGGAACTTCTCTGTAGATCAACTTTGCAATGGTTATTCAATGGTATAGTAGCGTTTTATACAATGTCGAAAAATACAACAATCATACAATAAAAGATCGAACCCCACCATTCTCCTCTAATTTACGGAATATATAATTGATTGATGTATACATAAAATAAGAGAAGTTGAAATTAGTACTCCGTATACAAAATTATTCAAATTGGTATGTATGTATGCATAGTGAAGGCGGTGATCAATGGCGGTCAGGTAATATCCAATGAGAGAGTTGTGTCCAGGTGGCTTGGAGCAAAACCGCAAATAGTTTGGTTTTTGGGGCCAGTTCTAGAAACTCTCGCTGTTTTTGGTTTTTGATGTCCAAACCGCAATGATTTGTGGTTTGGTTGTGGTTCAGGCGGTTAGAAACCACAACTACTGAGGTTGTTCTTAGAAACCATGAGCTTAGAAGCTATGAGGTTGTTCTCTCCTTAGGCATTGTAACTTATCCGTGTCATGGTTGCATGGTATCCATGGATTCATCCGAATAGTTGCATGAGTCCGAATGGTTGCATGAGTCCGAATGGTTGCATGAGTCCGAATGGTTGCATGAATCTGAATGGTTATTGCATGAGTCCAAATAGTTCATGAATCCGAATGGTTGCATGAATCTGAATGTTGCATGAATCCGAATGGTTGTTGCATGAACCCGAATGGTTGCATGAATCCATCCGAGCAGTCGCATGGTATCCATGGATTCATTCGAATGGTTGCCGTATGGTATTCAGCGAAGGCAACTTGGCTTCTCTCGCCACATTTGACTCTTCAGATTCTGGTCGGCCAGAGCTCAAGGGCTCACCTGTTATTAAGTCTTTACCCACTTGCTGTTTTCCCACCAAAACCAACCAACTTTACCCTTTTTTCTTTATAAATTTATATAGTAACATATTTATTTAATCATTTTTATATAAGTTACCATTGCAAACAAGAGTAAAATGTATATACATTATCTTAGTAGGTATTTTAGATAGAGAGTTATATATTTTCAAGCCTTGACAGAATTTATAGATCGCGAGTTTAGTATGGGCGCCAATATACTATATAATGGACATTCCGACGAACATCAACATCTCAATCAGTGACCATTTAACAGTCACATATATTAAGTCATTCAGAAAGAAGTATTAATCTTTTATTGAAAATCATCTTAAAAATTGTTATTTTGTACTTGTAAGTTTTGCACCCGAGTCGAGATTTGACAGACATGCGCCACTCCAGAGGTTCCGCCAATCCGCTCCATAGTACTGTAACCCGGGTATACATATCTCCGATATCGGATATACATAAATCCGGAATAAGCCTCGCCACCGCCTACTAAATAAGATTTTGCTAAAATCACGTGCTAATATTCGCCTCTTGTTGAACACGGCGGGAAGCTTCTTTCATCTCTTAACCACTCCAACTATTTCTGTCCAAAATAGCAGTCATGGCTTGGCGCAACCAAGGAATTACTGGCTCAAACAACATCCCGCTTGGCCGTCGACGCATGGGCGGCGAGGAAGGAGAAGAAGAAAGTCGCACTGCGACCCCCCTTCTATGCCCTCTTCGTCTACGGGTCCCGATGGTCCCAAGCGTGGACGTAGCCCCGTTCGAGGTATGTTTCTTCCAAAGTGAAGGCTTTGAAACGAACTCAGACTGACTTTTATTTCAAAGCCGACCCAGCTCCCCTGAATACTGATGGCGATGGCAAAAGGCGCAAGAAGCGCAACCGCTGGGGTGACCAGCAAGAGAATAAGGCTGCCGGTCTTATGGGACTACCGACTATGATCATGGCAAACTTCACCAGCGAGCAGCTTGAAGCTTACACACTTCACCTTCGTATTGAGGAAATCAGTCAGAAGCTTCGGATCAACGATGTGGTCCCCGCCGATGGTGATAGGTATGTGATTTCGTCCTTTGTAGGTTATGCTTACTTGTATGCTGACTTTGATAACAGATCTCCCTCGCCACCACCTCAGTACGACAACTTCGGAAGACGTGTGAACACTCGCGAGTACCGTTATCGCAAGCGTCTTGAGGATGAACGTCATAAGTTGGTCGAGAAGGCCATCAAGACGATCCCTAACTACAATCCGCCTTCTGACTACAGACGCCCGACCAAGACCCAGGAGAAGGTCTATGTCCCCGTGAATGACTATCCAGAGATTAACTTCAGTATGATAACTAACCCTCTAACTCCTAACCATTCTTCCATTGCGTCTATCACGAGTCCCTACTCGACTCGAGCTGACAAGGCATACCACCTTGGGGTGTCCTCAGCTTGTTTCTTGCTAAACCGTGGTGCCTGATGCTGCACATACATATTTTAAAAAATTACAGGATCACTAACACTCAGCTCTTGCTTTTTTTTACAGTTGGCTTACTCATAGGACCTCGTGGAAACACCTTGAAAAAGATGGAGACCGAGTCCGGTGCTAAGATTGCTATTCGAGGCAAAGGCTCCGTCAAGGAAGGAAAGGGTCGATCTGATGCCGCTCACGGTAGCAACCAGGAAGAAGATCTCCACTGCCTGATCATGGCGGATACCGAAGAAAAGGTTAACAAGGCCAAGAAGCTTGTCCACAACGTCATTGAAACAGTAAGTTCCTTTGCCTCATTTTGTGGGCCAAAAAACCCAGTGTTGACAATTTATCAGGCTGCATCCATCCCTGAAGGCCAGAACGAACTCAAGCGCAACCAACTTCGTGAACTGGCTGCTCTTAATGGTACCCTTCGTGACGACGAGAACCAGGCTTGCCAGAATTGTAAGTGAACACCTTTCAAATGTCTTGCGAGTTTAATTTTAACCGTGATCGATTCTCATCAGGTGGTCAAATCGGACACCGCAAGTACGATTGCCCTGAGCAGCGTAACTTCACTGCGAACATCATCTGTCGTATCTGTGGCAATGCTGGTCACATGGCTCGTGATTGTCCTGATCGCCAGAGAGGCAGTGACTGGCGCAATACTGGCGGCGCTGATAGACGTGGCGATCGTGCTGTTGGCACTGGTGATGCTGTGGATCGCGAGATGGAGGTAAGTTTTCTTTGTTCATGACGGCTTTATCAGACATGATACTGACATTTCACTTAGCAATTGATGAACGAGTTGTCTGGTGGTGCTCCTGGTGAATACGAGCCTCGTCGCATTGAAGCCGGCCCTGATGGTGGTAGTGGCCATCCCGACGACCGTGATGCGAAACCCTGGCAGCAGCGTGGACCACCTCCTCAAAGTGATGTGGCTCCATGGCAACAACGCCGTGAACCTCGCCCTCGTGATGAATACGGATCCCGCGACAATTACGGATCCCGCGACAACTATGGATCCCGCGACAATTATGGATCCCGCGACAATCATGGACCTCGCGACGACTATGGATCTCGCAACCAGGGTGGCCCTGCCCCTTGGGCTGCGCAGAACCAGCACCAAGCTCCACCCCAGAACCGGGACTACGCTTACGGATCTCAAGGTGGTTATACTGCTCCTGGTACTGCCCCGAGTGCTGCTCCTTGGCAAGCCCAAGTCCCCCCTGGTGGACAGCAGCCTGCCTATGGTGGTGGATATGGTGGATACGGTGGATATGCGGCTTACCCTCCTGGCATGGGAGCTCCTGGTGCTGTCCCTCCTGGTATGGGCGCACCTCCTCCCCCTCCTGGTATGGCTCCCATGTACCCCGGAGGTGCTGGCAGTCCTCCCCCTCCTCCCCCACCTGGCGATGCCCCGCCTCCCCCGCCTCCAAGCGACCTGCCTCCCCCACCCCCTCCCCCTCAGTGATGATTTAGCCTCTCCAGCGAAAAAGTGATCTCATTGATTGACATCGTTTGGCCATGCGTGGAGAAATTTGCCATAGGGGCCTTGAAGAACAATCCAACGAGGATTGTATTCAGAAGCCCACGGCTCGCTAACAATTGTTCTAAAACTCCAATAGTTCTTTTTTCTATGCAGCTTTGAGTAATAAGTCTAATTCTTTTTAGTTCATCTTAACTTCCATTATCGTATTTGTCCCGTACACTCGTATATGACCGTAGCGGCCCGACCACTTGAATGCCTTGCGCCCCACTTACCGGTCTTGGCTTCATCAGCTCCAACATTTCTCCACAAAATCAAGCTCGCTTCAATTATGTCCTAATTCTCTCCTATATTTCGTTATATATCAATCCAATTACCTCGCCTTTCATAAATCCATGCCAGTTGTATTACACTGAAGCATCAGATTCATCCTGCTATTGCATATGCAAGGATCGTCACAAAGGGACTTATCCCTCCCGGGACCCAATATGCAATCTTCCACGTCCGCTCAGCGGAAACCTTCTTGGCAGTCACAGCGACGATCATCAGTGCGTTCAGCGCATCCAGATAGATCTGGTCATGCTACAGCACACCAATCTGACGATTCTGTGGGTCAACAAGATGGCGCCCGAGAAAACTCGCAGCGCCATGCGTCTGCTACAGCGAAATGGTGGCACGTCCATTTGTTCCGTGGAATGATCAACGACGTTAAACGCAGAGCGCCATATTATTGGAGTGATTGGACTGATGCATGGGATTATCGTGTCGTGCCTGCTACAGTATATATGTATTTTGCTAAGTATGCTCGCTCTGATTCGATATCAACCAATATCTTTTCTTCAGTGCACTGTTTCATTTGCTCACAATCAGTGTAGTATCTTGCCTGCTCTAGCCTTTTCGTTAGATATGTTCGAGAAGACAAGTCAGAGCTATGGTGTCAATGAGGTTCTACTCGCGTCTGTTCTTGGTGCATTTGTGTTTTCACTTTTCGCGGCTCAGCCGTTGGTCATTGTCGGTGTTACTGGTAAGAAACCTGGGATATGTGATTACAAAGACGCAAACTGAAGATTATAGGTCCTATAACTGTGTTCAACTATACTGTCTATGATATCATGGCTCCTCGAGGGACGCCATATCTTGCATTTATGTGTTGGATTGGAATGTGAGTTTCCTTTGGTATTTTCAGCTATTGGCTTCACTAACGTTAATTGCAGCTGGTCTTTGATCATGCATTGGATACTGGCCATCACTAATGCCTGCAACGCCCTGACATACGTCACTAGGTTCTCATGTGACATCTTTGGATTTTACGTTGCTTGCGTCTATATCCAGAAAGGCATTCAAGTCCTCACCAGACAATGGGGCTCCGTGGGGGAGACCTCTGCTTACCTGAGTATCATGGTTGCACTACTTGTCCTGATGTGTGCATGGATCTGCGGAGAGCTGGGCAACAGTAATCTTTTCAAGCGATTCGTTCGGAAATTCCTTGAGGACTACGGTACACCTTTGACCATCATCTTCTTTACCGGCTTCGTTTACATCGGCCAGATGAGGGACGTTGATGTAGCTACTCTCCCTACTAGCAAGGCTTTCTTTCCTACAAGTGACCGGTCTTGGCTTGTGCATTTCTGGGACATCAGTGTTGGGGATATCTTCCTTGCCATCCCATTTGCGCTGCTTCTCACAATTCTCTTTTACTTTGATCACAACGGTAAGCACTTTGCATTGAGTAAATTACAGTAGATCTTATGACTGACGCGTCCCTTCCAGTCTCATCTCTTATTGCCCAAGGCACCGAATTTCCTCTCCGAAAACCAGCTGGCTTCCACTGGGACATTTGGCTCCTCGGCCTCACGACCTTTATAGCTGGACTTTTGGGAATACCATTCCCCAATGGCCTGATCCCTCAGGCCCCTTTCCACACTGCCGCCCTTTGCGTTACTCGTCAAGTTGCAGACGAGGATGACACAAACAAAGGCAAAGCTATCCGAATAACAGACCACGTGGTAGAACAGCGATTTAGCAACTTTGCACAGGGACTTTTGACCCTGGGAACAATGAGTGGACCTCTCCTCATTGTGCTCCATTTGATTCCGCAGGGTGTCATGGCTGGTCTGTTCTTTATCATGGGTGTCCAGGCTCTGCAGGGCAATGGCATTACGCAAAAATTGATCTTCCTCGCTGAAGACAAAAAGTTTACCTCCGCGTCAAACCCTCTCAAGCGAATCGAGCGCCGTTCTGCCGTCTGGGCCTTTGTCGCTCTTGAATTGTTTGGCTTTGGTGCGACTTTCGCTATCACTCAGACCATCGCTGCCATCGGATTCCCTGTTATTATTCTCCTTCTGATACCGGTGCGCTCATTCCTACTCCCCAAATGGTTTACCAGCGAGGAGCTTGCAGCACTCGATGGACCGACAGCCAGTCCATTCACCATGGAGAGTGTCAGTGGCACCTACGGGCTGCAGAACTACGATGAAGCGGTGGCTAGCGGCGCCCTGGAGGACTATTCTAGTGGAGGTGATGGAGTCTTGATAAATAGAACTTCGGCTTCTCCAGAATCTGCAGTCGAAGATGATCTAGAACGAGGTGAGGCGTATGAGCTCGCCTCCCGGGTCTCGCGCAGAAGGAGCACCGCCAGCAGGGCAGACTAAATCGTCATACGATAGCCTGTGTTGCAATAAAAAGTGCCTTGCGTTTGATTTGGTTATCTTCTCGTTTGCACCAATCATCATTCACCATTCGGTAAATAATTGTACTGTTTAGAATATTGATTCATGCCTGATTTCTCTGGCGAAAAGTACATTCAATCGACGTTTCGTGAATAACTGCTTGATCTACAGACCCAGGACCAATTTCCGCATATAACTAGTTATAATCCTACGTCTTTGACTAAGTTTGATATATGCATGCAATTATCTCCAAAGTCGTTTGATAGACCTGTGATGCCTTATAAATCAGGCTTAAAGTCCTCCACCGCTTGCTAGAGATAACTTTTTCTGCCACAAAATTATTTCGTCTTGATAGACAGTCGCAAACAAGATGGCGCCCCCGAACACAGAGAATCCGGAGTTCGAGGACTCCGATGTGTCCGATAATTCTGATGTGGAACAACCCGATGTCGATGACCGAGCACCCAAGCGCCGCCGTCTCTCAGAGTCCTCCACCGACTCGTATGTCGCACCTGCACCGCTCCCCACCCTCTCTCGTATCAAGAAGAAGGGTGAGGTAGAGGAGGAGCCTGAACCAAAGGAAGAGGAACCGGTCCTTATTAGCGATGCAATTGCGCTTGGTAAACAGAGTGGACTGTCCACCTTTTCGGAATTGAACGTTGCGCCTTGGCTTGTCTCTTCGTTGACGACGATGGCGATCAAACGGCCAACTGCTATTCAAAAGGCTTGTATTCCTGAGATTCTGAAAGGAAAGGACTGTATTGGTGGAAGTCGCACTGGTTCCGGAAAGACTATGGCCTTTGCGGTTCCGATTATGCAGCAGTGGGCACGGAATCCATTCGGGATCTACGCTTTGGTTTTGACCCCAACTCGGTATGTTCATAGTGGATATGAGAAGTTGCATCGTTGTCTTTGGTAACTAACGTTTTTGTACCTATCTAGCGAACTTGCACTCCAGATCTACGAACAATTCAGGGCCGTTTCCGCGCCGCAAAATATGAAGCCTATCCTCGTCGTTGGAGGCATGGATATGCGTAAACAGGCCATTGAACTTGCGAACCGGCCGCACGTGGTCATTGCAACACCCGGCCGACTAGCCGATCACATCAAGACGTCCGGAGAGGACACTGTAGCCGGTCTCCGCCGTGTCAAGATGGTTGTTCTCGATGAAGCCGATCGCCTGCTAGCCAGTGGGCCAGGAAGCATGCTGCCAGACGTGGAAACATGTCTCGGAGCACTTCCACCATCCGCCGAGCGTCAAACATTGCTATTCACAGCAACAATGACAGCCGAAGTGCGGGCATTGAAGTCCATGCCAGCAGCAGGCAACAAGCCACCGATCTTTATGACCGAGATCGGCACTGAGAACCAAGGCAAGATCCCGCCAACTCTCAAGCAGACATACCTGAAGGTTCCCATGACGCACCGCGAGGCCTTCCTGCACGCGTTGCTCTCCACAGAAGTAAACGTCACTAAGCCAGTCATTGTCTTCTGCAACCATACCAAAACATGCGATCTACTAGAACGCACACTCCGTCGTCTCGGCCACCGCATCACCTCCCTCCACAGTATCCTCCCGCAATCCGAGCGCATGGCTAATTTGGCTCGTTTCCGTGCCACTGCTGCCCGTATCTTGGTTGCTACGGACGTTGCATCGCGTGGTCTCGATATTCCGTCCGTAGAGCTGGTTATCAATTTCGATGTGCCCCGAAACCCGGATGACTATGTCCATCGTGTTGGTCGTACTGCACGTGCGGGCCGGAGTGGTGAGGCTACCACGCTTGTTGGACAGCGTGATGTTGAGCTCGTTCTTGCTATTGAGGAGCGGGTTGGCAGGCAGATGGAGGAGTTCGAGCAGGAAGGGGTCAATATTGAGAGTCGTGTTGTTAGAACCGGTTTGCTTAAGGAAGTTGGCTCTGCGAAACGTGAGGCTGCGGGTGAGATTGATGAGGGTCGTGATATCCTTGGACGGAAGCGTAATAAGTTGAAGAAGGTTCGCTGAGGGACGTCTTATTAGATAGATATTGTGTGCTTTGTATCAATTGATAAATTTAGCGATCTTTTCTCTAAACTTGAAACTTGGATTTTTGGCATTATCTTGATGTACAAGTAATGTAGCCCATGGCATTGCCCTTGCAGATATGCTTGGGTGAAACACCGCGTGGCAGTTTTATGTACTCGCCTAGGAAGACGGCAACGTTATTGGTTTCAAATTTATATACTGATGTTAGGACGAGAAGTAATAACTGTTCAAATGCACAAATGGTATCATTGATCGCAATGTAGAAACGAATTATTCTAATAATGCTGCATGCTTCCAAAATGGGATAACCCGCCGCCGTCCTGTTAGGACCAACACTTCAAGTATATCAACCAATCCCGACATGCTTGTCATTCGGTCCTGCATATCATGCACAATATTGCTTTGGAAAATGACTATCCATTACAATGCTCCACACGGTAAGCAATGGTCTGAAATGAGTATCAACACAAAAAGGAAAAAAAGAGACAATGCAGCTGAATCATCCAGTCCAAGAGTCGGAACTTTGATTTCCTGTCGTGCTCATGAGTTTCAATAGTCCATCGACCGCGTCACCTCGCTGTGATGGTGACATGGAATCCACACCATCCATACTAAGCTCGGCTCTTGGGCCCATGCTTGTTTCCCTATCGGCTTCACGGCGAATGACCGTAGCTGGAGGACTACTCAGCTGCATTGGGGAACCGAGCTCACGAGGCGGTGTTCGTTGCGTGTATGACTTTGTGCGTTGTTGTACAACGCTGGAAGACAATGGGGAAGGTCGGCCTGGCAGATCGGGTGTGCTGTGAGAGGGGGTAGAGATAAAGCCAGAGCAGCCGATGCGTGGTGTCTTCATTTGAGAGGATGGGAAGGATGTGAAGTGCTTGCGGGATGAGAGGGGTGGGGTGGATAGGACAGAAAGTGAGAGCCGTGGGCATTTGCGACTGTGTTCTTCTAGCTCGGAGACCCGGCGGTCGAATTGGTGGTCTGTTACATTTCGCATCGCGCTCTGTAGTCTTGATCGGAGAAGGCTTGCTTTCTGTTCAATAGTTAGAAACTGCAAGTGTTTGATACTGATATCATGGTCTGCTTACTTGTTGGATGAATATTTTGCGTGCGTCAGAGTCTGAGACAGGGCTACACATTTCTTGCTCGGGTGTGTTTGGCACATTGAAAGATTGGTTGGTGTCCATTAGATCTTGTATTTGGTCGCGTTCGGGTTGTGAGCTTTGTGGTGTGGGGGTTTGGGTAAGCTATTATTCATGCGTTATGTGGTTAGCTTTGGATTGATTATCATAACTTCTTTGTCTGTCTCGCATGAGCTTACCTCGCTTTGCATATCTTTATTGACAGTGGATTGGACGCCGAGCCGCGGAGAGCATTCCTGCGCCTGCACGTGTCCGAGGTTTTCTTCCATTTCATCCGCTTGATCCCGTGTCCGTTTTTGGCCTGCAAATATGGGAGACGGAAGAAGCTTCTTGGGTGATGTAGCCATTGACATCCGCTTGACCGGGGTCCCAATGGCTTGGAATGATGGTTTGACGTGTGTGGCGGGGGACAGACACGCGTTTGAGTCTTTCTCGCCGAGAATTCGTCGCCCGTCCTTGATGGGACTGAATTGCAAAGTCGAATTCATTATGGAGCTTTAGAATATGTAGTGGGTTCCAACCTGGGGAGAATTGAGGGGAATAGAAGCTCGTGGATAGTAGTTGGAAGTGCTGCGGGGGAGTCTCGTGATGTTAACGCGAACCAATGCGATATGTAAGAGAATTGCAATCACAATTGGAAGTAGAAAGTTAAGGAGTAGAAGGTTGAAGGTAGAAAGTAGAAAGTAAGTAGAAAGTCGAACTGGAAAAAGAGAAACGGTCGCGTCGATCGCGTTTAGTCTCCCGATACCTTACTAGCCTTGTATAGAGCACGGACTGGGATCCACACAGGCGTGTTGAGCACGCGTTTGGATTTTGAACATTGCAATTGTTTTGATACTGTATAATACTACTAAATGGTCTAGTTTAGAATGGGCTATAATGCATCACTGCTATATTCGTTATTTTATAGACGCGTATACAATAGACTCTTCTTCTCGATCTTCTCATGTCAGACTTTTTGATATTGAAGATTCGAACTTTTTTAGAGTCTCTTTTATATACCCTAATATTTCAATTTGCTTTTCTGAGACTCTTATATAAACAATCGCAATACTGTCACAGACACTGAGCGCTCAACCCCGACCTGGGGCGCGTCTAGTGCTTTTCGTGTCCTGGATCCACAAGAGGGTTGGAGACCCCACGAGCGCGGTCTATAATCAAATTCCAGGAGAAAACCAAAAATGTTATTTACAATACCTTTCTTTACATGAGTGTTAACGCCTAGAGATCAAATGGATACATATGTAAGTATGCAGTAGGTAGTCAATGCGAGGATATATAGTAGACCTGAGGTATATCATAAGGAACAATGCCTTTGTGATCAATAACAGTATGCAATCCATGTATCCAGGTGCATGGCTAGCTTCCTTTTCCCCCATTATATATATGTATCCTACACACTTTTATTTAGCTAGTGTCCTCGGTATTGATTTTGTGGTCTGTATGTTGTCGCATTTCAACAATACACTAGACGTTGCCCTATTGCAGTGCATCTGCTTGTTTGGTAAATATACATAGTATATTAGCCAGCTGGTGATTCTACTCTACCCAGTAGGAACAGCCCCTCATGATCTATATAATAAAGTCTACCTACGACTGACTCGATATTATATCAAACAGGTAGAATTCGGCAAAACCGAGGTTGGAAATAGATTCCCGAAACATGGCAATGACTTAAGTTCGCTTTCACCGCTAAGTTATCTCCCCTACGTTTAATTAATATGCTGATAGAATTGTTATAATGGGGTGGATGTTGACCTGGTTTCTCAGGCCTTTATTCCAGTATAGATCACTGAAAACAGCACTTTTCGTTC